GATTAGTCAAGTTTGATGATATTATGCTAAGTGCAATTACTCAGAGAAAGACAAAAATCATATGATTTCACTCATATGAGGACTTTAAGAGACAAAACAGATGAACATAAGGGAAGATAAACAAAAATAATATAAAAACAGGGTGGGGACAAAACAGAAGAGACTCATAAATATGGAGAACAAACTGAGGGTTGCTGGAGGGATTGCCGGAGGGGGGGATGGGCTAAATGGGTAAGGGGAATTAAGGAATCTACTCCTGAAATCATTATTTCACTATATGCTAACTAATTTGGATATAAATTTTAAAAAATTAAAAATTAAATTAAAAAAAAAACAAAGACTCATGGGGGTGGGCAGACCAGGCAAAGAAGAATGAGAAAGAATGGCTTGAAAGGGAACAGCAGCAGGGAGCCAGGTGAGGGGTGATGCTGAAGAAAATGAGGTGATCAACAGTGTCAACTGCAGCCCAGGAACGGAGTGGGTACTGTGCAAAATGTCCACTGGATTTAGCAGAAGGCACTGCTGATCATAAGATGAACAGATTCAAAGAAATGGTGGGAATGAAAGTCAGGAAGCGTGGGTTGCAGACTGACTGGTAAATGAGGAAGTGAAGACTGACATTTCAAAGTAGCAGGAGGGAACAATGAGAGAGGGGGTGATAGGTTATAAATAGCAAGGCGAGTGGGACAAAACTGACCAAACAAGTTAACAAGGAAACAGAACATGCCCAACAGCACAATTAGTAACTCACCACAGAAATTCCTCCTCCTATGAAATCCAACTCTCCCCTAGTGGCTGATGCTGACACATATTTCTGAAAGAATTAGATCCAGATCCCAAACTTTGGGAATATGGACTTTTTTCATTATCACTCACCTTCTGTAGTTGCTGATGGCTTTGTTGCAATATATTTAGGTGCGATTTCTTAGTCATCTACAAGTACCTCAACTACCTCATAGCTTTAAAAACAGTGGGGAAATGATGATTAATAAATTCACCAACATTAAAATACAGTTCAAAAGCCCTTCTCCAAAGATTCAGTACATTCCAGGTTCCTAAGATCTAGCCATGTTCCATATTATTTTCTGAAAAAACATTAAATATAAGATAGCTATTCTAAATCATCTTCTAAAATGCTGATGATTGGGGCGCCTGGGTGGCGCAGTCGGTTAAGCATCCGACTTCAGCCAGGTCACGATCTCGCGGTCCGTGAGTTCGAGCCCCGCGTCGGGCTCTGGGCTGATGGCTCAGAGCCTGGAGCCTGTTTCCGATTCTGTGTCTCCCTCTCTCTCTGCCCCTCGCCCGTTCATGCTCTGTCTCTCTCTGTCCCAAAAATAAATAAACGTTGAAAAAAAAAATTTTAAAAAAATAAAATAAAATGCTGATGATTTTCTTAACTTTCAAAGTGATTAAATTGATTGCTGATGATTTTCTTAACTTTCAAAGTGATTAAATTGATTGAGGTGGTTACACTGTCATATCTAGGAAATATTTACTGTAGTCTCATATCCTATAACAGCAAATATATGGCATATCATATTAATGATAGTGATTGTTTATCAAAAAGGTTGGTTTCCCTCAAACACAATCAAAATATAGGATTTAGATAATATCCATAACCTTAGTCTTGGCCAGCTGGCTCTAGTTAGATGAGAGCTTTAGATGTCTAACCTACTTTTTTCATACCTGTATAATAAAACAAACTTGAAGAAATTGCACTGGCTTCTTTTTGTACTCTCTAATGCAGAAAGTGGCTATGAAATTGTGAACTCAGTTACTCCTATTAAAATATTATAATAGAGAAAATTTTGTTCTGATGTCCTTCTTTGTTGACTGTGACACACCTCAAAACTAAAGTCCCCAAGGTAATTGCAAGATCTTATCACCGTTTAGAAATTATTGGCAACATACCAACTGGTTAAAGGTTAGTAACATAAAAAGAGATCATGTGAGTAAAAGAGAATGTATGTAGTACTCCAATGCTTGATTCTTACGAGGGTATCCCTTTGGGATGTAGAATATTTCTACAAATAAGAGATAATCCAACCCAATGACCTCCACAACAAAATTTCTCCAAACGTCTCTAACCAGGCATGAAAGCAGGAGACAACTTGGAAGTCATTACAGGTAATTAACTATACAAATGAAATGTAATTTACTAATAAACGAATAACACGAATGTCCTTGAATCTCATAATACAGGCTCTGCCCCTATTTTATGAGCCTATATTTATGGGTCATACTCTTCCATGGCAGATATTACCCATGGGAAGAGAAAATATGTCATTGGAACTACAATCTGCTCAATACTTGCTCAAGAAAATAATAGATGATTTCATTAACAAGACTACTTTCAGTAGATTTTAAGGTAGATTAGACATAATTCTGAATTCAGTAGATTCTGTTATAAAGCCACACCATCTTATATCCTACCAAGTTAGCTTAGTATAGTGAAAAGAATATAAATTAAGACTAGAAAACCCCAGGTCACACCCAGGTCACCACCCAACCTGTATCAATGCAAGTGACTTGCTCACACCCTGTAGGACTTTTTTTCTCTAGTGAAACCACAAGGACACTGTCATTTCCAGATGTGACTCTGTGTCAGAGGAGACTGAATCATAGTCAGCAAAGGTTAGACGTACCATCAGAAACCAGAGTCGAGACGGAAACAATAAATGAAGAAGTTAGGGCTTGAAGAGGTTAACGACTTGCTCTAGATGAAAGAGTAGGTAGTTGGAAAGCTGAACTGGAAGCCATTCATGGTAATTAAACAGATTACTGCATGTATGGAGCAATTACATTACACATACAAAGTTATGTTAAGAAAAATATTTTCAAGTAATGGCAGTAATGAATTACATTATCAACGGGAAATGCTCTTCCGTTTAGGGGCCCCAAAGATTATCTAATCAAATACCCAGCTTTTATCGATGAATCTGAGGTTAAAGTCAATTTGGACAAAGACTGAAGTCTTTTTTTTCTATGAAAAATAGTATCTTTTTTTTAAACATTTATTTATTTTGAGAAAGAGAGAACACACGCAAGCAGGGGAGGGGCAGAGAGAAAGGGAGAGCGCGAATACCATGCAGGCTCCTCGCTGTCACTGTGGAGTCCGATGCGGGGCTCGATCCAATGAACGGTGAAATCATGACATGAGCCGAAATCAAGAGTCGGACGCTTAACTGACTGAATTACCCAGATGCCCCGAAAAATACTATCTTATATGTTAAAACACTTCATGAATTATTAGAAGATAAAGGGCTAGAAAATGTTAAGTGGTGAGATGAATGTTGAGGTAGACAATTTATTATGTATAGGCTTGAGAGACTCTGAATGTTTTAACTGGCTTTGGAACTGTGTGGCTTGATGATACATGTGGGCATACATTTGTGTAAGTTATGGTGTTGGCCTCAGAGAAAGAGGGATGCAACAGTGTCTGTTTTCTGCCTCGACCCAAGGGTCAGGACTTGAGGTGGTTAGAATGGGTTAGCATTTAAAGTTGAAAAGGACTTTTCCAAGAAATTCATGGTGCGATTCAGGGAAGCAGTACTGCCATTTTGGGTGCATATGTCTAAGTGTGACACTGAGAATTGTACTTTGGGCATTAATATTATGATCTCAACTGTGTACACAAGCTGGTGTGATCGAAGGCAGTTGAATTACACACTAGCAGTAAAACAAAACAAAACAAAACAAAAAAACAACTATAGGTGTCTCCTTAGAGAAACCCATGAAGTTTATAGCTTGGGGCCATTTTCCAAACAATTTATAACCTTAGCACACTTAATCTCTGTGCTGTCACCAAATTAATACTGCTTAAACAGAACCTTGACTTTGTAGCTCTATTTTCAAAATCCTTAGTGTCCCTTCTCTGTGCATGTGGAATAAACACTTTGGGCTTTTGTCTGATGCTTTCAACAACCCCCCCCCCCAAAATACTGCCCAAGGAGAGGTAGTAAAATAAAACATGCAGGTGGGAATCTGACATCCTGAGGGTTCAATCTTGGCTTCACCATTCCCTGGCTGTACAATCTTGAGCAAATTCCACAGCCAGTGCAAGCCTCAGGCTAACCGAAGCAGTACAGGTCAGAGCCAGTCTCTGTACAATGCTTGGCCCAGAAATGTTAGGAACAGTGAGTAGGATGCTGATGTCCATGGTGTAGTGAGAATTATGATCATGAGGAGGACGTGAAGGGCATCATAAATGTGCTCGTGTCTTCCCGCCTTCTCAACTTTGCCCACGGGTTTTCAATGGTAGGGAATGCCTTTTATTTCTACTTTATTGTATTTCCACCTTACAAAGTTTAAAAGCCCCAACTTCAATCCCGCCTTCTAGAGGCCACACAAGACCCTGCAATAATACTTCTTTTCAAGGTAACAATGATTAGTAAGTATACCTGAACTTAGAGGGGCCTCTCTTCCTGGAAGAAAAAATAAGTCAGATGTTGCCCATCCCATTAAGATGATACTTGATATTTTACTTGTGCCTTTTAATTTAAAATAATAAAAAAGTATGAAATAATATAGTGTAGGGTACGAGTGATATATATACTAAAATACCTCCTAAAACCCCTCAGGCAGGCTGTTTAGACTCATCCTGTATCCATTTGAAATTCTAGAAACTGCTTTCTGGGGAGATCAATTTTCCCCTCACATAATGTTTTCCCACACCCAGTTAAGGACAAAAATAATTAGCGGAAGCTCTGTTCAGACAGAAGGGTAAATATATTAAAAATTATTCAATGTGTGTTCTATGGTAGGAAGAACTAAATCACTGCTCCATTCTAAACCTATCAGAGAAAATAAAAACTTTGAAGTCCCACTTTGTGTTATTTAAATACTTGCCAATTTGTCATATGATATGATTGCCTCTCACATAAACATGACCTCTTTCTAGTGTGTAGAAAAGGGGATTATCCTCCATGGCAGGTACATTGGATTTGATCTGATGACAATTCACTTTCCTTTAGATGTCTGCATGTATATATAAGACTTACCGTGCCAAGGTCAATGATGAAGCAGTCACCCTTGTTGAAACTGTCCCAGCTAAGAGGAACTTCTGTGGCCCTGACCACTCTTCGACCCTTCACATGCAGGAGCCTCTTAGCAGTCAAGTCATTCGTGAGAACATGATTTAGCCCAGATGCCACACCTCCAGCCTGATCAGTGGGAGGAAGAGAGAAAACAAAACAAAAACAGATGAGGCTTCTAACTAAATACAAAAACATATAAAACCAAGGTGTACAAGCCAAAACTGCCTGTCAGACCAAAATAAAACTGCACCTAAGAACATGTGAAAAATTAAGTATGCAGAGGAGAATGACTTGGCAAATCAACATTTTTTATTATTTTTTTTTTTTTTTACTTTTTTTTGTTTAAGGCCTTTTGTCTTTCCTGTTTCCATTCAATTTAACATTGCAAGTTTTTACTTCAGTGCATAAAACCTGGTACATAAATGAGAGGAAGCAGTAGCTCTTATCCTTTGGGAACTAATGATTCTCAAGTCACTGAGTGAGAAGGCAAATAAATTTCAGGGAAGAAGGAGACAGGCAGATGGGGAAGACTCACAGGTAACAAGAACAAGAGAGGAGAGACTAGACACCCCCAAATTCCCATGACACACACAGTGATAGGACAGAGAAGGGGGGGATGAATACTGGCTAGGTATATAAGTGGATCCTATTTATGGTCTCTGTTATAACATTATTAAAAAATCTTTCTTCCTTTTGTTTCTTAATATGCAGGCCTGAATATTTATACCCTAAATTTGGTTGCACATCCCAAAACAAAACAAAATGAAACTATGTTCAATCAAAAAAATGTTAAAAGACAGGGTCACCTGGGTGGCTCAGTCAGTTAAGCGTCCAACCTCAGCTCAGGTCATGATCTCACAGTTTGTGAGTTCGAGCCCCGCATCAGGCTGTGTGCTGACAGCTCAGAGCCTGGAGCCTGCTTCACATTCTGTCTCCCTCTCTCTCTGCCCCTCCCCTCCTTGCATTCGGTCTCGCTGTCTCAAAAATAAATAAACATTAAAAAAATTTGTTTAAATAAAAATTGTTAAAGAAAATAATCAGATCAAGTACATCTTCTTACCCTATTTGTAATCAGGCTTTACCTTTTCATTGTTTTCTACAATTAAATGTTAGAAACAATAATATTTATTTATTTCCATAATTAATTATGAGGCAATATGCATAATAAATATGTAGTGTAAGCAAATCACTTTTATTGCTCAAGCCTCCTACAATAATATGGTAAGAAAATCAGCAGTATAGGAAACCTGTAAAATAATCTAATTTTCAACTTTATTACATAAACATACACAGTAAATCCAAAGAAAGAAGTTAAGTTGCCTATGTAACCGTCAGCACATTCTTGAAATTACCACTGACTTTAAATTTCCACCATTCTCCAAGAAAAGACCCTCATAAATAGAAAGGTTTTATTAGTATAGGCTAAATGTTGACTTTGAGACAACTGTAACCACAAATTTTAAGAAATACCTAATAATTCCTCAGCCCATAATTTTACAAAGAATGCCATAAATGAACAAACTAGGTATTATACAATAAAAATAAATATAAGTTTTCATCTATATACTACTGTTCTTGGCCATTTCACTTTTTAAAAAATAAGTACATTATCACCTGATAAACAGTGTAAGAACACTGTTATTTGAAAAAAGTTATAAAATACAAAACAGACTTAGACCGAGGATACTTACATAACATTTAACCTAATGTCGTATAGTGAACCATCAGAGTGATAACCAGTCTGAACATTTAACAGTATTTTAAAAATTAATTTTGTCTTTAATATTTGATGTGAGAAAGGCACAAAAGAAAAACTGTAAGCTTCTATATGTTTGTATTTGATAGTAAGTAGTTCTGTAATAATGTTTGAATTAACCCTAGAAACTCCTAGTCTTTCTGCTTTCACAAGGCAGAATGAAAGCAAGGTACGTGATCCTGTAAATCAGTGGCACCATAAAGTTTTGCTGACTGATGGATGTTTCAAGGTCGCTATTACAATCACGGCTGAGAGCTGGGTCTTGAGCTTGGGAAAGGTGTGATTAACCAGAGATTTAACATAAGGGAGTAGTGGCAAATAACAGTCATCTATAACCCCCTAACCCCCTTAAAAACCTCATTAAAAAAAGGAAACCCTCACATCATTTAAATGACATGAGGAGATGGTCTTAATGTTGCCTAGCTGAATCTTTACATTATACATGGTAACTAAACATGACTGTTGTTGGCTTGGTAATGGTAGGCTTTGCCAAATTGTGTCCGTTCCAAACAGACACAATCCCCTGTTTCATAGGGTAACCTTAAGTAAGAAATTCATGCCGATATTTGAACCATTTATTTATGTTTAGAGCATCATAGTATAATGATTACCAGCTTAGGCACTGAAGTCAGATGGGGCCCTAGTCACTTAACAGCTATTAGATCTTGGCAAGTTACATAGTTCCTTAATCAGTTTGCTTAGTTACCTTAATAGGGTGGCAATTCTGGAAACTGCAGCATGGGGTACTACTTGGATTACATGAGATAACACCCACGAAGGGCTTAGCACATTCTTCGAAGCATAAAATTAAGTATAACATAATAGTCTTTGCTATTCTGGGTAGCAAGTTATCTTTGCTTCCACGTTTCCTATCAAGTACTTTGCAACTGTACGCGTTGTCATCTGCTCAATGTCACTGATGATAAGACAGTGAATTGATTTTTTTCCTGATAAATTTGACCTCCATTGGCAAATATCTTATTTCTAAAATATGCTGATTTGTGGCGGTTTTGACATTGATAATTAGAAGATAATTATCTTATAACTGTAAAACTGCTTTTTCATGTCCACTTTTAAATATGTATCCAGAAGTTTGATTTCAGTAGTCCCGCTAATAGCCAGAAGGATTAATAATACCACAAGTTCTTACTGATTGCATATGCACTATATATGTATTTTATTATTTAATTTAATCTTTAATCCTTACAACACCTATTTGAGGAAGCTTGTTTTATACCCATTATATATTTGGGGAAACTGAGCACAGTTGCCCTGAGGCAAACAAGTTATATGTAGCAGAAATGGGTTTATCACCAAGATGATGTCACAGTAAATGCTTTTAGTAACTACAAGACCCAGCTTATTCAAAATGTTGAGCTCACTGACAAAGGAAGTTTCAGGATCATTTGACAAAAACTGTCGGAACTCATGTGAATTAAATAAAATTGGAGGCAATGGTTTCATATTTAGGGTTGTTCACATCCTAGAGTGAAAAGAATGATTTTAAGAGAGAAGAGAACTTATTAAGTATTTATTCTCATCTCCATGGCATAACAAAATATTCATTAAGGCTCTGACCAGGTAAAAGTAGAAACAAACCCCGTCACTGTAATAGACAAATTTAATATATATTCAGAATTCTGGTTTAGCTCTGAGGTTTTAGGTCTTCAATAGGCTAATATGCTCAAAGGGTGAGGGTCAGCAGAACACCTGTTAGAGCAGGTTTGATTTTGAATAAGATTGCTTCCAAACTGTTTGTTTAGGGAGGTATTTCTCACACTTTCACTGAACACTCTTGGGGGAAGGGGGGACTGTGAAGGGTGGCCGGTCTGCAAGAGTCATGGAGAGAATTCCAGAAAAAAGGCGGTCCTTCGTTAAAGGTTGCCTTAAAAGGAGAAAACCATTTAACTTGTTTTTGTTTTTGTTTTCCCCCAAAACAAAGCCAGTTGATGCTTAGTGTTTCAGGCCAAAACACATAAATGGGGCACATATGTGTGTGTGGTGGTATATGTATACTTGACTTTGTGAGGCTGAACCACACATATACTCAACTCAGTGTTGTTTCATTTGTATCATTTCCGAGATCAAACCACACTATTTGGGAAATGTGTGTATAGCTCTTGCTATTAACTAAAATAATAACTGTTATAAATATTATATTAACCTGTTCCAGAAAAACTGAGATTCCCAAGTCCTGGGTTATTTGCAGTAGAATAGCATTTAAAAAAAAAAAAAAAAAGTTAATACCTAAGTTGCCAACACTTAATTTTTGAAGTAACTCCACAAAATTTTTAAGGGCTTTCCTGTGACAACATGCCTGAGGGCTCTTAACTTCATTAAAAATTGACCTGTTAAATGAAATTAAGTCAGAATTTTTCCCATATTATACCCACATTCCACAAGCGTTTAATGAGCACCTACTGTGTGTCCAGCAGGCACTGGTATAAATCAGTAAACAAAACAGACTGAAGCAAAAGCAAAGCAAAAACCCTGTCCTTCATGAACATTCATCCTGTGAAGACATGAGGTGTGAATGCATGGGAAGAGAAAGGGGGTCATAATGGAAACAATTCGAGAGAACTGCTTACCTTGTATTTCAGACCTCCTTTGAAGTAGCCAACAAAGTCAGTAGATTCATGGCCTTGAAGTTCTCTACTCTGTACCGGCTTGCCACCCAAATAGTCATCCATCTGAACAGTGAAGATGGCAGCAGCTGTGCCTTCATCCTGAGTACACTCCTTTCCTGAAATTGCACAGGACAGCACGTCACTACTCGAGCAAGGAAAAGGACTAAGGCAGAACTTCTGATAAGAAAAAGCTCAGATATTTTCTTTGAGTTACACAGCAATATAATAAATGGTCGTGGGCGGAACAGTCTTTTAGCAGAAATGGTGTAATATAAAAATACTACTTTGCTAATATCTAAAAGAATTGTTTTGCTCTTGCTTTCCAATTCTCTTTAAAAATTTTTCTAAAAGAAATACTGACGTCTGTATACGCTTAAGAAGATATAACACTATATTCTAGTAGGATTCAGATTCATTTGGTAACCAGATCAGACTATGAGAATGTTTTCCAATTGTTTCGGCCTTTATTACCGTCGATCTTCAGGCTTCCAATAAGTCACTATGTTAATATTTGTAAGGAATATGAACATCATAGGCCATAGATAAATAGCTTTAAAAAAGCAAGTGGTTTGTAGAATGGGAAAATGAGTGTAACTTGACCTTACCCCTCTTTTCAAGGACCACAGTCCGCACTTCATTATCTTATTGGTGTAAGATCCTATTCTCTGAGGGGAAAGGGAGAGTAAAGGAAATAGACGCTAACAGCTGTTGAATGTGAATGTATGTACTATTATCCCAGGAATTTAACACACAACACACACTTAGTTTTCACAATTCTAGTACAGATCCCATCTAGCCAACCTCACTGAGGTCAAAACACTAATCCACATCCTTCAGTGTACACAAGGACCAGAGCTGGGACAGTCCTGAGAGGAACTCAAATTTTATAAAAGACATTCCAGAACCCTTGCTATATTTGAGCTGTGTGCAAGTCATAAATGATTTTAGAAATAACAATAGCTAACATGTATACATTTATAGTATCCTTGCACTGGGCCAGATACTGTGCTAGTGCTTTACATGGATGATCTCATTTAATCTTCAAGCAACTGCATGCAGCAGAAATATTTCCCACCATGTCATAACAAAAGAAATGGAGGCTTAGAAAGGCCAAGTAGCTTCCCTGAGGTCATAAAGTTGACCTTTGGTAGAACACAACCCAGAAGCGGGTTGCCGTGATTCTGAAGCACAGGCTTTTAGAAACCACAACACCAATAGAGAGTTTTTATACTCAGATTCTCACAGCAGAAACATTCTGTGATAGCTGGGGTAGTTATTTTCCTCCAGGTGTAACTGATGTAGAAAAGTGTAGAAGTTATAACAATACTATAGTTCACCTGAAACCCCCATATGGTGAGTATTCACTAAAACTGAAGAAAGGAAAACAGTCAGCTATATTAATTTAAGAAGTGTATTTATTTACATTCCTCCCTTACTCTCAAAGGGGACCTGTATAGCTAGTTATCTTCTCAGGAAAAAAAAAAAATCCACTAGCTAGAAGAATATTTGCCATGATATCAATTTTGTGAACTTCTTGTGGTCAAAGGAAAAAAACACATCAAAGTTTACAGTCCAAAAGAATACTAGTATCATTCTTCTGCCCACTTTCCCATCCATAAATGAGAATACTAATAAAGGCAAAGATGTAGATTTGCACTGAGATGTTTTAAGAGGGAAGCTTAAATCAAGGTTAATATCAGAAGTGTTAAGGATAATGTGTTTGACATAAAACATTAATGAGTACAAGTTGAAACACAAATTTCTTTGGACAGATGTAAATAGACAGGCATGCAATTAATGAATGAACTGGAAGTAAGTTAATTAAATTATGCTATCATTTGTCGATGCTTGTGTACTGTGTGTGCTAGGTCAAGGGATATCAGTATTAATAAACTAGAGGGTTTGCTATAAAGAAGTTGAAAGGTCCTAAAGAAACCAATACCAGCCTTTGAATGTGAAAACTAGAATCCAATTCAATGATACCATGATGCAATTCTAGCAAGTGTTCAGAAACGTATGTACTTGCTCTATGAATTTTGCTTATAAATTCATTTATTTTCCCTTTTCTGATTTAACCAGTGTCTTTCAAGTTATGTTACGTTCTTTTGTGTTATGTCCTTTTATATTATGTTACATTGTACTTGTACATAGGCTGCAAACTTGCTAAAACTCTTTTGGGGATGTGATGATTTTATATATAAAACAGATTAAAAGGGAGGTTTAATAACTAGGTTAATCAAATAGCCATCCGTGATAAAAACTCTTGCAAAGTTAGGAATACAAGGGAATATCCTCAGCTTAATAAACAGAATCTACAAAAAACACACAGCTAATACAATTCTTAATAGTGAAAGACTGAATGTTTTCTCCCTAAGTTGGAACATGGGAGGTCCACTCTTACTACTCTTACTTAACATAACATGGGAAGTTCTAACCACTGCAATCAGGTAAGAAAAGGAAATAAAAACATACATTGGAAAAGAGGAAATAAAATGTCCCTATTTAGAGATGACAGGATTGTCCATATAGAAAATATGAAGGAATCCACAAAAACAACCCCCAAAACTCCCAGAATAAATGCATTCAGCAAGATAGGAGGATAAAGATTAATCAATAACAAAAACCAGTCACATTTTTTTTGTACAGAAACAATGAACATGCAGAAATTGAAATTAAAAACACTACCATTTACAATCACTCCAAAGAAACAGGTATATATTTAATAAAACAGGTACATGATCTATATGCTAAAAATGATAAAATGTTGATAAAAATATCAAAGACTGGGGTGCCTGGGTGGCTCAGTTGGTTAAGCATCTGACTTCGGGTCAGGCCGTGATCTCAAAGCTCATGAGTTCGAGCCCCTCATTGGGCTCTGTGCTGACAGCTCAGAGCCTGGAGCCTGTTTCAGATCCTATATTTCCCTCTCTCTCTGGCCCTCCCGTGCTCACTCTCTGTCTCTCAAAAGTGAATAAACATTAAATTAAAAAAAAATCAAAGACCTTAACAAATATAGAGGCATAATAAGATTATATGACCCAATATAATTAAGATTTTAATTTTCCCCAAGTTGATCTACAAGTTTAATGCTATTCCTATCAAAAGTACAGAAAGGTTTATCATAGATTACACAATTTTATTGTGAAATTTATATGAAAAGGCCCAGGCCATGGAAGAGCTAAAACACTTTTGACAACGAAAAAGAAGATTGGAAGAATAACTCCATCTGATATTAGGATTTACTATACAGCTACAGTAATTAAAACAGTGTGGTACTGGTGGAAGGAGAGACCCATAGATCAACAGACAAAATTTGCCCCAGTGGTAACATTTTTCAAACTATAGTATAGGTTGGTATAGTACAGTATATTAAAGCACAAATACAGGGGTGCCTGGGTGGCTCCGCTGGTTAAGCGTCCAACTTCGGCTCACGTCATGATCTCACAGCCTGTGAGTTCGAGCCCCGCGTCAGGCTCTGTGCTGGCAGCTCAGAGCCTGGGGCCTGCTTCGGATTCTGTGTGTGTCTCTCTCTCTCTCTGCCCCTCCCCCACTCATGCTGGCTCTTTCTGTCTTTCAATAATAAATGTTAAAAATTTAAAAAAAAAAAAAAGCACAAATACATAAGTACAGCACAGCACAGAATGCAGACACCAGGATACAGACATTGATACAACCCACTTATCTTTGTCATATTTCCCCAAATTCACTTGTGCTGACGTGTGCCTTTGTACATTCAGTTCTCTAAAATTTGATCACATGTGCAAATTCATGTATTCGTCATCCCAGTAAAACAAACCGTGCAGTTAGATCACCAAAAACTCCCTTAAATGTTGCCCTTTCATAACTACCACCACCTCCCACCTGCACCACCCCCTTCCCACCCCATTCCTAACCCCTGATAACAACGAATGTAAAATTCTATAATTTCAAGAATGTTTTATGTACACGGAATCATACACCAGGGAACATTTTGGCATTGCTTTTTCTTTCACTCAGCAAAATTTCCCAAGGATTCATCTGAGTTGTTGTGCGTATTGATAGTTCTGTTCCTTTTTATTGCTCCGTAGTGTTCTCTGGTATAGATATACCACAGTTTGTTTAACCAGTCACCTGTGGAAGGATATCTGGGCTAATTCATGTTTTTGTCTATCCAAATAAAGCTGCTATGGACATCTGTGCATAGGTTTTTACATGAATCTAAATTTTCATTCCTCTGGAAGAAATACCCATGAATGCAATTGCTGGGTCATATGGCAGCTGCAAGTTTAGTTTTATAAGAAAGTGTCAAACTCTTCTTCATAATGGTTGTACCATTTTATACCCCCCCTAAGCAATGTATAAAAATCCAGTTTCTCAGCATCCTCACCAGCCCTTGTATAGTCTAAGTTCCTTGTATTGTACACTGCATACTGCAATCCAATTCTTTGGATTTTCAGTGCCTCGCAGACAGCCAAGCACAGACTAGATATACCACACATGTTTGCTATTCTCAAATACATTTATGTAAAGTTTAAAACTGGAAAGAGAAAGGATCGAGGTGAGCGGATGTTTGTAGTGTAGGCCCAGGATGTGACAGAGTAGCTTTATTACCCAGTCATGCCCATAGTCATGATGCTCTAAGGAACTAGAAGCAGAAGGTGGATGCATTTAAACTGCTAGGTGCAAAGCTAAAAATATTTTTTAGGAAGGACCAATGCAACAACTTTTAAGTTATAGGCAACAAATTATTATTTTGTAAAGTAAATAAAGAAACAATAATAAAAGGGAATAATCTAAGATATGCAAGGGCATCGCAGAAAGCCAATGAGGGAGAGAGCAGGGAAGAGGGCTCTTCCTCTATTCTTCCATTCTGGGTCCTGCTTCTCCTTGTTTCCCCTTTCCTCCTCTCACTTGGCCTGTTTCTTTTTTCCCTCCAATGCACCTTTTCCATCCCAACCTGGTTCTAATTTCAATGTCTTTCATCCTCCTTCCAAATGATTTATAGTCAAACCTCCTTTCCCCCCGAACTTTCAGCTCTCCCTCTTGGAACTTTTTCTCAGTCTGTCTCTCTGATTAACCCTCATGAACTCATACAAATTCAGGTCCTGGGTAGAATATTTTGGATGAAATACAGCTAGCTTCAGGGAACTAAAGTAGGAAGAACTGCTAAACAATTCCATCTAAAGGCCCTGGTTACTATTTTACTCTAAACTTTTCCATGCTCCTCATGATTTTCTCTTGGAGTCGATCCCTCCCAATTATCCTCATTTTCCTTTTTTCCGTCAAAGCTGCTCTACTTCCCTGTGTCCCAGAAATACAGACACTCTCTTTTTCATGGTGTTTAGCACATTTTATCTGTGTTGTATCACTGTTCATCTTATTGTATCTTTGAGATTATAAACTTTAAGGGAAGGCTCATAAATTATTCACATGCAAAAATGCCTTACACAATGTTGGGCATACTGAGTAATTACTGAATTCACTTATTACTTAACATACTAATAACTTCAGCTTTAGCAAGTCTTTAAAATCATGAAGTGTTTCTGCCCAAGGCATTTTCTATTACAATTTTTGAAATTGGTGACACCTAAATGAATAATGTGAATAATGAGTTAATGTGAACCTGTAAACCCTAAAAAACAATTTGCTTAATAAGCTTCTTTGGATAAGAAAGAATCTATAAAATAAGAAAAACAAAAACCAAAAAAGATTTAAAAAAAAACAAACACCTGTATTCACAGCCCTCTTACAGTCTCACAACAAAGTCAAACTTAACTGTTGTCTACAGCAGGATACAAAGTCCTTTCACACCTTAATTGACCAAAATTTCAAATGTGGCATTTCAGACACTCTTATTCATTCCAGATCCAAGTTCTGAATACATAAACCAAGATGAGAACATTACTATTCTCTCTGGCATCATTCATTCGTGAACATGGTTTTATATTAAGGTTTCAGTGATTTCTGGTGTAAAATTTAAATCAATCAATGTCTAATATGATAGGAATAGTGACACTACACTAGGAAACCACAATGTGCTTGGAACTCAGCTTGCACTCCACCAAGTAAGCACAAAATTGTAATATTGAATGCTATAATAAAAACAACCCTTTTCCCTCATTATAGTTCTCATTTGGAGCGTCTGCTGAGGTGTTCACTACCACTGAGAGCATCCTTTCTCAATGTTTTCTGCCATTCTATTTCTTAAAAGCTTCAAACGTTAGAAATAAAAATGATGGTTTTTCAAGGACCTCAAAGTGTGTGTGTGTGGTTTCGTGTTCTCCCACAGGCTCAGGAATAAAGCTAAAAATATAGAAACAGAAGTCTAGGGGAGGCAATCTAGTCTAAAAAGAAGGCAGTAAGTCTCAGATAATCGGCACGTTGTTAGAAGGGGTGTGCCCACTGGCACAGGATCTTACGGGGAGAGGTTGGACATTCAGGATGTTTACGAGTAAAAGTAGAAGGTGCAAAAAGTAGAACACACAAGGCCCAGTATTCTGACATCCTGGCACGAGTGCAGCCCAAAATAATTACTACTGCTGAAGGAGCTGTTTTGTTTCGCACGGTGCCCTTGTTCAAGTAGATAAATAATAATATTTTTTAAAATAATTATCATAATTGAGCAACTCATCTATATGCCATATAAAGCTATTTATTTATATTGACGATATCTGTATTTTTTTTTCCTCTCTTCCATCCAGGGTCGCCAATACCTGATCAACAAGAATTTCTGTTAGCAGAACGCGTGAGCAAGTTGGTCTTGATTTAAAGCCACCCAGAGCATTAACCGCCGAAATTTGCGGACAAACAGAAGCTGGGGCCTAAAGGCAAAAACTAAAAATAAATTAATTAGAGAAAAGGGAGGGGGGAGCGGTTAGTTCTCGCCAGCTGCGGCGGATGCCTGCAAACTTGTTTGACTGCATCTCCTCCCGGACAGGGAAACCAGGACTGAACTTGTCGCAAGGAGAGCGGGACTTGGCCACAGCCGGGGTGCGCTAAGCAGCGGCCCTGGGCGGGCGCGGGTTTGCAGAATGTAAGGTGAAAGGGGGAGAATCTGGGGGAACCAGTCTCCAAGCCCGGGTGATGCGCCTGACAAAGCTCAAAGTCCATAGGATAAGATTGCTCCCGACCTCGCCGCGCCCCGCGTTTCCTGCCGCGTTCGCACGAGCGGGCTCTGGCGGGGAGAAGGCGGCCAGTCCAAAGGGGGCGGTCGGGAGGGGGCGCGACAGGCGCGACGGGTCTCCGGGCCCGCCCGGTTTGCGACTCCCCTCTCCCCCAACTTCACCTGCACCCCCCCCCAACCTCCAGCCTGCAAATCTCAGCTTAGCCGCCTCGCCCCACCCCGACCTGGGCGCGTCGTGGTCTCGCAGCCTGCACCCCCTTACCTAGCCAGAAGTGCAGGCGGTAGGAGAAGCCCCGGCTCGCCCTGGCCGTGTGCAGCACCAGGTACGCATCCCCGACGTAGAAGTCGCCGTAAACGCTCTCGGGCACCGGCACGAGCTCCAGCTTCTCGACCCTCCAGACCTGCAGCCCCGCCTGCTGGCCCGCTCGGGCGAACTCCTCGTGGTACAGCCCGTGGGCCATTGCTCCTGCAGGCAGCGCTCTGGGCAAGGGGCGGGGCACCTCGTCGGTCTTGCAGTCGGACTAATCCGAGATGGGCAGAAGAGACTGTGCTCCGCGACTTTATAGAGCGCCCTGCGGGGAGGCGGGGCTCGGAAGCGGGAGGGGCTAAATACCCTAGGCGGGGTTGCTAGGGTAGCAGGGGATCCCGTCTCAATCGGAGCGATGCGCCTAGCACCCACCGCCTCCGCCCTACTCTGAGTTAGCAGCAGATTCACAATCTCAGAAATCGTGAGATCCGAGAGGAATTTACAGACACTCCTGGAAATGCCTCCTAGTCTAAGGAAGGACATTTTTTTCGATATCAGATGGAGGAGATTAACAATTGAAACTCTGACGGGCGCAACGTTCTTTTAAAAAGAAAAATGACTATCCAGGTAACAATCATAATCACCAACTCCATCATTTCACTTGCCAGTCGCTCCATCTCTGATAGCCGAAATTTCCGTCTTGATCTTTCCAGTTCGAAAGTGCCGTGAAAAACAAAAATGTCAGGTTTCTTGGAAAGGACGAAAACCTAGTAGGCTGGTGGTCCTACGCAGAAGACAGAGCTCTCTGTAAATCCCCTGGGGTTCAGAAGCAGTGGTTAAGCTCTTTGCTTTTTTTGTCCAGGAAAGTTGTTGAAAAGAGAGCAGCCCTCCTCCTGGGGTGTTCTCAAGACTGGGTTGTTTGTGGTGTTATGCGCAGCTTGCCTTGTGAGTTACCTGTTATCTGGCTTCAAGAGATTGATTTCTCATTGTTTACCCTATAGTTTTTGCTTTTGCAGCACTGTAACACGAAGTTTACGTTTTATTGTGCATTCTTTTAACAGAAGCGGGTATGGCAAAGGCTTTTGTTCTGAAAAAGCCAGTCACTAGGGATCTAAAGATTTAGAAAACAGATGTTTATGCAGGTGCATTTTCTTTCACTGTTTCCCAAATTACAAGAGTCCCCAGAAGATCACTAATAATATGCAATTCGATTTTTCCTTAATTAATTTATGTTTTTAAACAGGTATTACATGACTATGGGAAAAATTCAAAAGTACAAATGAGATGACACAAGTAAATCATTTGTGTCTGTTACATAGAAAATATTCACTAATTAGCTATTATTTTGTGACAGACTTGATTTTGCTCCTCTAATTACCTTCTCCATCCTTCTGCATCCTGTGGCCTTCCCTTAGGGCTGACTTGCATGGACTAAAGCAACTGGTCTTTGATGATCTCTAGCTTAGGGTTGGTTGGAAATCAGAGAGAGAGAGGAGAGAGAGGTCAGAATATTTATTTACTTGGTCCCTTCTACCAAAAGTCACTGTACCTTTAAAAACAAATAACTCTATGTTGCTTTTTCTGTTTTGGGGGGGGGGTGCATATGTGTGTTTGGTTTTTTTCTTTTTTCTCTTTTCAGTTTCTAGCAACTACCCCCTTGGATGCATTTTCCTTCTTGGCTTTTCTGTCCTTCAACTTCTGTATATAGCCTATTAAAAAAAAAAAAAACTCTAGGAATTTTCCTATTTTGTGAATGTCATGTATTCATAGGTTGAGATACTGATTGATAAATATTATTATCTATATTCTCTTTCTTTCCTCCTCCTAACCAAAACAATAAAAAGTGGATATAATGAGGCTCATTTTACAGATGAGAAAACTGAGGCTTTGCAACTGTGCATGGCCAAGGAGAAATTCAAGCCCACTGAGTCTCATTCAGAAACACATGATGTTTACCAAAACTCGTTCTTTCAGTCCAATTATTTGGCTAATACTTGCTCACATAAATATACTTTATATTTTTATTTCTTCTAACTTATCCCCAGAGAAGCTTCCGCTCTAGCATGTCCCATGCAACACCGGGAAGTTTAGTTTTAACATTGTCACCGAGGCATTATATGTCTTAGTTTCCTTAATCTGTAAAGTAGAAATCATTTGTTCTCTTCCATCTTCTAGTGAAAAATTATAAGAACCAGTGATCTGGACACAAGATCAATTAAAAATCAGAGTGATTACTTAAGCTTAGTTTCAGTTTTAGCAATAATTTCTTTCCTGTTAGTGAAGAAATATTAGTGAAGAAATAAAAATAAAAGGAAATAATTTCCTTCTAGTTGAAGAAGTAAGAAAGAACTTTGATATGGACAAGTGGAATTTCCTCTTGCTTAGGCCAGGACATTTACCTGCTTTCTTTTGTCTATAATAATGAAATAATGCATTTAAAAATACATTTGTTTAGGGGCACTGGAGTGGTTTAGTCAGTTGAACATCCGACTTCAGCTCAGGTCATGATCTCAGGGTTCATGGGTTTGAGCCCTACATTGGGCTCTGTGCTGACAGCTCAGAGCCTAGAGCCTGCTTCAGATTCTGTGTCTCCCTCTCTCTCTGACCTTCTTCTGTTCACACTCTGACTCTCTCTCTCAAAAATAAATAAACATTAAAAACAATTTTTTAAATACATTTGTTTTACTGGTAGTCCTGCTAAAGAGTAATAACTCTTGTTTGATTTCGCCAATGATTTGAGGGTGTACACATAGAGCCTGGATTCAGGAGACCTGAGTGTCATGAGGATCAAAAGAGATAATTGTTCCAAAGCTGTGAGAACCAATCAATAAACACAGTTAATAATTAGCAAGGGCCCTTAGCCCTAGTACCTAAAAAAGCTGTGTGATTAGTGAAAGTGAAAATGCACTTTCTAGGGAAGTGTATTTAAATTCTTCTTGACCATACTAGACAAACTAGAACTTAAAAAAAAAAATTCACCCCTTTTTTTTTTTTTAATTTCAGTCAGGATCTATGACTTTCCCTTTCATTAATTTAAAATTACACATAATACTATAAAGACATGGTCATGGCCCAATACTATGGTGAAGGTTTTATTGGTCTTGAATGTGTGCTATTTTGATAAATAATTCATTTCTTGTAAACCTACTTGATACAGTGGGTTGATTCAGCAACTTTCTTCGTAATATTTTCATTATATATAAAACTCACTTATTATTCTTATTACATAGTAAAAAGCAAACCCCTGCAAGATTATTGAGAGAAAACACCATCATTATTTTAGGCCTTTACATATTAAAGAATGCTTATGACAGAAGGAAAGGTTGAGGATCCAAAGTCTCATGGAGATTTCTGATTTGAAATGATAAATTTTGCTTTAAGCTTGTGCTGATGCAAATAGAGATCTGAAGATGATTCTGGTTTTAAAATATGATAAAATTGATGCTAAAGCCCTGAGACTGTAGGAACTTTTTCTCTTTGCCTGGTTTTTCTAAATGTATCTATTTACTAATTATCCCAGTTAACATTCCATTCAGTTTTGTGTGTTTGTAGCCCTGACTTTACCAGCCTGTGAGAAATAACTTCAGATTTTTCAAGGACTATGTCAACAACTACTTACAATATTTGAATGTCAGAACTGTATGACCATAGAGAATGATGGAAATCAGACATGATCAGATCATCATTTTGTGTGCAGGTACTTAACAAAAATAAGGTTAATTAATTCACCTAAACCCAATGGGAACTTGTTTAAAACAGCCTAAGGACTTGAAGATACGCTTCTCACTGATCAAAAATCACTTCCTTTAGCAAATTCTCTTCTTGACTCAACATCTTTTTTTATGAGTCTAAATTAAGCAATTTGGTATTCCTTTTACTCTTAGCTTCCTCTTGTCTTGATATTTTGAGGTTTCCCTAAAATCACAGGCTTCTATAGACTATTTAAATTGACTGGAAGGATTTTTGAAATTTTAGAAATTCTTCCTACAGAAATAGTGACATATACATAAAAAGTACAATATGCATGGAAGTTTGTTTATTGATACATTATTTGAATTGGTGCAATTTAAAACTACCAAAATTAATTACTTAGAAAAATTGTATATTAATACAATGAGGTTATTATTTTTAATGAGGTAAATCTACATATACTTACATGAAAAGTATTCATAATCTATTAATTTTTTAAAAGCAAGCCACCTATGAATGTGCACTCCATTTAGGTTGAAATGTGTGTGCTTATGTATGTATTTGTGTGTGAATAATAATGTTCATTTATTGAGAATCTTAATCTTTGGCAAGATTCTTTCAAGCACTTTATCTGTGTTAACTCATTTAATCAACAACAATCATATCAAATGTCTCCACTTTCTTGTTTTTTTTTTTAGAGAGAGAGAGGGCACAAGTGAACAAGGGGCAGAGAGAGAGACAGAGAGAATCCCAGGGGGGGAGAGAGAGAGAGAGAGAGAGAGAAGAGGGGCTTGTGTTCACCCAATCCAGGCTTGAACTCACGAACCGTGAGATCATGACCTGAGTGGAAGTCGGATGTTTAACGACTTAGCCATCCAGGCACCGCAAATGTCTCCACTTCAGAGACAAGAAAACTGAGCTTCTGAGTAACCCACCGCAGGCTGCACAGCTAGAACTGGCAGAGCAGGAAAGTGATCCCAGGACAGTTGGCTCCAATGCCTGTGTTCTTTACCACCACTGTGGAGGTTTCCAGGCTCCAGCTGTCAACACAGAGCCCCATGTGGGGCTCAAACTCATGAGCCATGAGATCATGACCTGAGCGGAAGTAGGACGCTCAACCGAATGAGCCACCCAGGAGCCCCAAAACATTAGTTGAGCATTAAATTTTAACATAAGGTTAGTCTACTATTCTGGGACTTGATATAATCTTGGCATTTGGTCATGTCTTGGTTTATGTAAGTCAATAATATTTCAGAATTTAAAAAAATTATTATTCATTGACTTTTTATAATTGACTATATGATACATTTGTGTCTCCCCATGTGTGCTTGTGTGTATATAACTATAACTGTATATATATAAATGTATTCTTGTATATTGCTATTCCAATAATAAGCTCTTCTTCAAAATTAAAGGAGTAAAAACTACACAATTACATCAATGGATGGTACAAAAAGGTTTGATAATGTTTGGAAGTTACTAAACGTTATATTTTAGAAAAATATGGAGTTATTGGAAAATTTT